TATTAAAGCATGTAAATATGGTAATTTTATAATAGCAAGACAAATCCAGATGTATAGTATAAGGTGATGAATTTAACCATGAATTTTACTTAGCCTCACCTCCCAAAGTGTCGAAAATGTAGGTCATCGGTCTTGCCACACATGACACCTACGCCGACAAGAACTCTTATCCAAGACTAATTGACAGTTTCGCACTCTTCGCCCAATGAATATAAGTAGCGTGGTAAGTTGTGATGGCAAAACACGAGTTTGCCTTATAGAAGATCCAAGTATGTAGATGGGCTTGCCCAGAAACCTGCATCGGCCCTGGGGCCAACTAGCAGTGTTGGGTGAAAAGGTTCGAAGGTCGATCTATCAGAAGACGACAGCAGATTCCTCTTGACCAAGTGTCAAGAAGCTTTGCTGGAACATTCTTTTTGAAGCTGTTTCCTTCGGATCCGGTGAGAACATGTTAAGCTTTCGTCCGCTATATGGTAGACATAATCAGAGCAGGATGGGTGTCATCCTAACAACCATATTCAAATGACGGAGTTTTCTTGACTCGTTAGCTTGAGTATGATTGTAATGTTGATAAATTGCTCTGATGATGTCAGTCATACGACGGACGAAAGCTTTGCACGTTTTCACCGGAATCGAACGAGGTTGCCACGGAAACAGTGTTCTTGTAAAATTGGTCATGAGGAATACGCCGTCGTCTTCTGGTGGGACCGACCTTCGAATCTCTTCATTAAACACTTTCACTCGAAATGGAAGCAAGCTCATCAATTATGAAACAAGAGATTTTTCGAAATCCAACTTTGCTTCAAGATTACATGTTGCAATTGGGGGTATTGATGAGACTCAAACGAGGTCACAACTACAGTCCCTTCGGGATAAAACTATCTTTTGGAGGGATGGACTAAGTGAAATTCAATTAAATATGATTTTTGGAAAGTTCTGCTTATACGACTTAAGGTTATCATAGCTCTTAGTAACTGTTTGCCAATAATCGCAGAGCCTACATCGTATAAATATAGCAAAAGTAACTAAATAGTAAATTTCAGGCTATATAGTGGGGCTGGACAGGGGTGGGTGGATGCATGAGAACGGGATACCTTTATCCGTTCCATTGGTTTGGAACAGCTTCCATTCCACTGTATCGCTTTCCTGCCCATGTCGATGACAAATACATCGCCCGAGTCCAGCGACTTACGGCTAAAGTACACTTCCGTCAGTTTGAACTTGTTCTTCGCGGGTATATTAAATCTAAGCAGGCGAGGCTTATAGTCTTCAGGCTTAACATGTCTGAATCCTGACTCGTAGCCTCCAGAAAGGGTTCTGTTTGAAAAAGAAGAAGAAAAGCGATGAAGTTTGTTTTGCCTTACGTGGAAAAAAGGCCGAATACTATAAAAATGTGAAATGCGCACCAAGACTAAAGGGTGTCAGGCTCGAGTCTGAGACTAAATGTTTACCAGAACAGGAGCCCTGTTTAGTTCATACCAAACTGCCAGTGGCTCAACAAAATGGAGTGGCAAAAGAAATCGTACGAATTTGCCAGAAGCAAGAGTCTTGCTCAATAGGATTCTTACCGGAAAACTTTGAAGAGAGACTTGAAGGCATTTGATTCATATCCCTCCACTTCACGATGCTGAATCGCTTTATCATTCAAGAAGGCGTCGAGTTCGACTGTCTTGTACGCTGCTGTACCGTACTCATCCTAAAAGGTGGAGGAAATAAATCACCATGCGAGGTTGGCATTAAAAAGTATTATTAAGGGTAATCCGTTTAGTCTGTAAATAAATGCTGTTTAGGGTTACAAGATGTAGTTCCCTGCGAGACTTAAGAGCAGATTCAGCTCTTTTGCTTGAATATTAAATGGTGCAATGGAAGAGAATATCGACGTCAGGTTTGTCAGAAAAGAAGGACCGCAAGTGTCAGGTGGAGAATAGGCAGTGGCGTTTGGTTGTCCCAGCGCTACAGTTCGTAGTCGGTAAAAAGTTAGTGAATTTCCCGTTTCTCTGGGTCTTCGCCAGACCAGAAGAGTGACCCTTCGTCTCTCGATTAGGTATGCAGGTGAACACTCGGAACAGGCTTTGTGTCCTTTAATTACTTGAAATTGACATCCCTCTTTCCGTGCATGTAGTCACTTTTATGCAGTAATATGGTTATTCAAGAACGTAATCATCATAGGTCACTTAATATGATTTAAAGTCTGATAGATGAGTTTTTTTCACAATGAGTTGAGTATACCCTGGATGGGATAAGCCTCTGGGAGACAAGGCCAAGTGAAATTCAATGGCGCAATTAAGCTTCACTATGGGTAAACTCAACGGTCAGTCCTTAAATCACCTCGAGTGATCTAGGGCAACTAAGGTGTTAGTCAAAAAGTATTGAATATTGTTTTTTGATATAACTAGGTTTCAAGACTATGGGTATTTATTGAATAAGAATTTAGTGAAACTAGGTCACCTGAGGTGATTTAAGGACTGACCGTTGAGTTTTTCTCACAAAGTGATGAGAAGGCTTCAGGATACCATCTCACTTAAAGCTGCCTTCCAGAAGCTCATCTTACTTGTATCGAAAATGCAGTTGCACAGTTATGCGTATATACAATTATATGTGCATAAAGTCATATAAAAATACATACATACATGCATAAAAGCACACATGAATGCATACACACACATCTACATACATACATACACAGATACAATCTTGCATATACATATGAATACTCACAGGCAAATGTTATTCTAGAATCATTAAATCAAATAGGATTCGATTTGTAGAAGATGTGCTGGAGCTCCAAAAATTCCTAAATCGTTCCGTTGTCGAATCGACTTCAATAAAAAACTGGTTGTGATTGCACAATCTGAAGTGATCGACAGAAAACTCTGCGTCTGGAACTCTAGCACAGATTAAAGAGACCAATATTCGGTCGCACTAATCTGGCCTCGAACGACTTCATTTGTATGATATGTATTCCCCCTATACCTTTTAAGATGATGAAGAACTAGTAGTTGACTTTTCCA